CACCCACCCTGCGACCCACCCCGCGACCTACCCGCGACCCACCAGCGACCCACCCGCGACCCGGTTAGTGACCCACCCACGACCCACCCGCCACCCACCCCGCGATCCACCCATATTGATTTAACAAAAACCGGCGCTTGCGGCAGGTTCATTGCATAATCTGTGGAAGTTAGGCGCTTGCGGCGGGCTTCTTCAGAGCCTCGCAGATTGACGACGTATTCGCCGCCTCCTCAGTATTGTCGGCAACTGCGGGGTGCTACGTATATATATATATAGAGAGAGAGAGAGAGAGAGAGAGAGAGAAAGAGAGAGAGGGATGCCAAACCCTCGGTACCCGCCCTCTTCGCCTTCGATCGCCCCCCCAGGGACATATCTTCCTGACCTGCCGCGTGTAATTGGTGCAGCCCCTGAGACAAGGGAAGAAAGGACGGATGGAAGAGGGAAGGAGAAGGATGGAACACGGTATTAGCAGGAGGGGGGCGAGGAGCAGAAAGCACGTGGCAGAACCAGACGGGCCCACCGGGCGGGTAGACCGTAACGGGTGGGTCGGGAAGGCGGGCCCAAGCGGCCAGGTCGAGAAGGCGTGTTGCTGAGCGCGATTCCCAAGTAAAGCGTGGGAAAGAGCATAGCGAGAGTGTGATCCCTGAGTGTCGAGGGCGCGGCCTCTGAATAAAAGTTGCGAGGAAGTCCCACGCGAGAGCGCGACTCCTGCATAATTTGTTAGGGCGTCCCGCGCCAGGGCGCCTTTCTGCAATACATCGTGAGGAAGTCTGAGGCGGGAGCCGTTGTTGTTGTAACTCGGGGGCCAAGGGTCTAGTCTGGTGACCCTTCACTTCCCCTTGTAAAAAACAAGGCGCGAGCCCTGGGAAGGGCACTTCAATTGAAAAAACAATGTGCCCGGAGGAGGGACCAACAATCAGTGTTTTCAAGCAAACGAGACTGCGTCCACGACAGCAGCAGCACAACCAACAACAATACCACCAACAACAAGACGAGTACAAACAACGACAACAACACCACCAACAACACCAACAACAGCAGCAGCACAAATCATAGTATCAACAACGGCAGCAACAACACCAACAACAACAACCTCGAAATCAGCAGCAACAACAACACCAACAACGACAACACCACCAACATCAACAGCAGCAAAAACAACAACAACAACCACACTAACAGCAGTAACAACAGCACAAACAAAAATAATAGTAACAACAACAACGACGACGACAACAACATCAACGACAACCTCAAAAACAATAGCGACAACAACAACAGCAGCAACAACACCATCAACTGCACCAGCAACACGAGTACTAACAGCAGCACCCATGAACAACAGCAGCAGCAACACAACAACAACAACAACAACAACAACTACCACTACAACATTACTGGCAACACCAGCAACACATACAATACAAACAACAACAGCAACAACAATGTAAACAACTACAGCGACCGGAAGAACAGCAGCAACAACACCAACAACATGAGCCACGACAACAACACCAATAACAACGGCAACAACAACAGCAGCAGCAGCACCAATCCGCACCGCGGAATCCCACTTCAGCTACGCACCCAGTGACAGTGAATGACCTGTTGGCCCCCTTACTCTGATCTTCAGAAGATCGCAGAACCCCTAACAGACAGCGCCTGCCCTTCTAGCACGGCTCAACGTGCCAGGAGGCAAGGTGGCGGATCAGGGAGGAGGAGGAGGAAGAAGAGGAGGACAACCAGGAGCAGCAGGAGGAGCAGGAGGATGAGGAGGATGGGAAGGAGGAGGAGGAGGAGGAGGACGAGGAGGAGGTGGAGGAAGGGTGCCTCCTCCTCTACAGCTGCACATTACGAGTACTACTGTCATCTCTCCTCTGACCCTGACTTGAAGTTGTCCCGCACTCTCCGTGTATTGTTTTTTCCCGTAGGATTTCAAACGCTAGTCTTTCTTAGGTGTCGTTTCCCATCCGAACGTTTTTGGTTCTTCAGAGTTGTGTTCCCGCTGCAGTTCCTGCCTCATTTCCGCGCTTCTGGTCCTTTGCAGCACTGGTTGAGTTTCCGCGTTTTCAGTCCTTCCGAGTGGTGTTCCCGTTGCAGAGCAGGTCTCATGTCCGTATTTATGGTGCTTCATGGTGCTTCCGTTGCAGAGCTGACCTCATCTCCAGAGTGTCGGTCCTCCTGAATGGTGTTCTGGTTGCACCGTTCATGCAGCCATGGTATGTGATCCAATGCGATGTCACGTGCCGCTATTATACGATTCCACGCCTTGCTCTGCAATGCTGTGATTTGCAACGCTAGGCTACGCAGTACCATGCCATGCCAAGCCATGCCACGCAATGCTGTGCTATGTACCGCTATGCGATGCCATGCCTTGCGCTGCAATGTTATGACATGCATTGCTTGATTGCGCAATGCTATGCCATGCCATGTTTCGAGTACCCTTTGGGGATGGCTGTCTTCTTCGACATCCGACCGTAAAAGACAAGGGGCCCTACAT